CTAATTTCACTGTATATATTTATTTACAGTTTTACACAGTGTAAAGAGACAATCAGTAATAGAAAAGATATAATAAGAAAAGATTATAATATCTGAGTTCTCTGAGTGTAGTATTGAAGACAAACTGCTGTAGAAGTAGTAGAATACTGTAAAGAAATGAATTAATCAAGAGACTGATTTTATAAGCAGTGAACACAGGCTTTTGACACATTATTCATTCTTGAGAATCCATGAGAGATGATTAATCAGATGCATTATCTATTCAAGAATCTGTACAGAGTAGATTGTTAATCAGATGTATTATCTATTCAAGAATCTGTACAGAGTAGATGATATAATAGTGCAATGTCACAGAATTACACTTCACTTAATTCTACACTAATCAGTGAGCTGTATTCGCGCCAAGAACCTCAAAAAGGAAATTCTTCACTTTTAATAATCAGGGTTTTCATCATATATTTGCTTCGCTTCGCTCCGCAAATAACTCTCTTTTATTCAGTGAATAAATGAGAGGTAGAAAACAATGTTCTGCAATTGACACTGTTCTCTCAGTTGTTCATGATATTCAAATAGCAAAGCATGAAGGTCTGGTCTCAACTGCAATTTTTATTGATATAAAAGAAGCATTTGATTATGTTTCAAAGTCAAAGTTAATTCAGACTTTGAAAATATTAAAACTGTCACTTTCTCTAATAAAATGAGTTAACTGTTTTATATCTAAAAGAATCATACAACTTTTCTTTGATAGAATGAAATAAGATAAGGCTGAGATAAAACTAGAAGTACTGCAAGAAGCTTCAATCTCACTCATTTTATTTGCAATATACACTGTATATCTATTCAAAAATAAAAATATGAAAATAGTGTGATCTCTGAGTTATATAGATGATATTAATCTAGTCTACAGCTTAAAAACTATTAAAGAGAATTTGAAAGTGATTGAAAAAGCTGTAAAGAAAATCTTTGTCAGAGCAGATATCAATCAAATTTAATTTAATATAAATAAAACTGAGTTAATTCATTTCTTTTCTAGATTCAATGAGAAAAAACTATCTCTAACTCTTTTAAATAGAGAGATTAAACCCAGTTTAAATATCAAATGATTAGAAGTATGATTAAACTCTAAGTTGAATTTTAAATATCATATTCAACAAAGAACTGTCAAGGCAGAAAGACTATTAAATAACATTATCAGATTATTAAATACAGAGAGAGGTCTATTCTTCCAGGCTATGAGACAGTTATATATAACCTGTATTATCTCAGTAGCTGATTATAAAGATTAAGTTTAATGAAATAATCAAGAAAATTTCACTGAACTCTTTCAAAGTCTGTAAAACAGAGCTTTGAGAAGAATTCTGAAAGTATTTAAATCATCTTCTATTAAAGCAATGAAGATTGAAGCTTCAATTCTCTCTTCTGCTATTAGATTTGAAAAGATCTGTATGAACTATGCTCTGAGAGTTATAAAGATAAGCTTAAATTATATAATCAGAGAAAGAGTCTCTTCTTCATTTCTATTAATTAACTCTGGAAATAAACTGAATTGAAATAGATTTCTTGATTGAAATAAAAATAATTCTTCAAAGAAAATGTCTTCTCAACTATACAGACTATGCTCACTGATTAAAAATCAATTTTCTTCTTTAAATATTGAAAAAGTTGATCATGAGAAGTTATCTTTCTGAAGAGAAAAGCTTGAATCTCTTATAGACTTACAAATAAGTGAACTATTTAAAGAGAAAGAATATGAACAGTTATTATTATTTTTATTATTCTTCAATTATAGATGTATGCAGTCAGAGACTATGATATCTACCTGAGAACTTTTAGTTCTCAGAGTTTTTCCTATATCTGTAAAGTTAACTATTATACATTCATTAATTTCATATATGCAAAATCAGAAAATTCCATCTCAGAATATAAAAACTGTTTACAAATTGCAGTATTTTAACATCTTCTGATACTTTGAAATCATTTGACAATATCATGACAAAGAAAAAGAGAACACAGTCTTAAAGATAGACACATTAAATAGATAGATAGAAAGAAATTGAAAGAAAAAGATAAAGTAAAGAGAGACTGTAACAAAATAAATTATTAAAAGATAGTATATAGCTGTTTTAACAGACTATATCTGATTGATTTCCTTCTCTTCATATTCAGATATTTCTGAATTTAGTCATTTTCTTATAGCTGCTTGAGTTTCTGATAGAAAGTCTATTAAGTATTTAACTCCTGTCTCAGTTGAGAATAAGAATCTCATATTTAATTAATTTAGATCATACTTCTCTTTCAATCTGACTCTGAGACTATTGTATAATGCACAGTGCATTATAATATACTTAGAATTCTCATTTACATTGCAGAATGAGCCTTCTATTGAGTCAAATCTATCATCAAATCTTTGTATATAAGATTTAAAATAGTCATATTCTAGTTTCAGCTGTATTATAGATGAGAATATTTTCTTTTTATATTTAATTAAACAAGATTTTCACTTAGGTTTTATTGTAAATCTTGAATAATGTATACTCTTCTTTTGTTTCTGTCAGCTTTCATTTTACTTATCTAAACAAGATTCTTTTATTTTTCTCTTTATAAAAGATCAGAATATAATTTTTTGAATAGATCTGCTTAATTCTGCACTCTTTTTTACAGCTGAATCAGTCAATTCATTGCCATGAATATTCATATAAGCAGAAACTCAGTGTAGATAAATTATCAGTTTTGATATTCTTCTCTTTTATATTTTCAAAACAGAGTTTAAGATCAGTTCAAGATTCATTTAATTATTATAAATCTGACTATTTCTAAGTCTTTTTAAAGCAGCTTGACTATCAGAGAATATTCATATCTCTTTTAAACTATTTTCTCTTTTATGATATTTTATTTCAATGAGTTTGAAAGCTTTTACTATTACAAATAGTTCAGCATCAAAGACTTCAGATTCACAGCCTAAATTTCAGAAATCTGAGATAAAATTGATATTATCTTCAGTATAAGCAATGTCTGTGTCTAATCTATTCAAATTCTCATTTTTTGAGTTATCTGAATAAATCAGAATACAGTCTTTTATATTAATTGTAGAAATTCTCTTTAAATGCTGTTCATATTCTTTCTCTTTAGATAGTTCACTTATTTATAAGTCTATAAGAGATTCAAGCTTTTCTCTTCAGAGAGATAACTTCTCATGATCAACTTTTTCAATATTTAAAGAAGAAAATTGATTTTTAATCAGAGAGTATAGTCTGTACAGTTGAGAAGACATTTTCTTTAAAGAATTATTTTCATTTCAATCAAGAAATCTATTTCAATTCAGTTCATTTTCAGAGTTAATTGATGAAAATGAAGAAGAGACTCTTTCTCTGATTATATAATTTAAGCTTATCTTTATAACTCTCAGAGTATAGTTTATACAGGCCTTTTCAAATCTACTAGTAGAAGAAGAAATTAAAGCTTCAATTTTCATTACTTTAATAGAAGATGATTTAAATACTCTCAGAATTCTTCTCAAGACTCTGTTTTACAGACTTTGAAAGAGTTCAGTGAAATTCTCTTAACTATTTTATCAAACTTGAACTTCATAATCAGCTACTGATGTAATACAGATCATATATAACTGTCTTATCATCTGAAAGAATAGATCTCTTTTTATATTTAATAGTCTGATTATATTATTCAATAGTCTTTCTACCTTGACAGTTCTTTGTTAAATGTGATATTTAAAATTTAACTTGGAGTTTAATTATACTTCTAATTATTTGATATTTACACTGAGTTTAATCTCTCTATTTAAAAGAGTTAGAGATAGTTCTTTCTCATTGAATCTAGAAAAGAAATGAATTAAGTTAGTTTTATTCATATTAAATTAAATTTAATTGATATCTGCTCTGATAAAGATTTTCTTTATAGCTTTTTCAATCACTTTCAAATTCTCTTTAATAGTTTTTGAGCTGTAGATTAGATCAATATCATTTATATAACTTAGAGATTGCACTATTCTCATATTTCTATTTTTGAATAGATATGCAGTGTATATTGCAAATAAAATGAGTGAGATTAAAAATTCTTATGATATTTCTATTTTTATCTCAGTCTTGTCTTATTTCATTTCATTAAAGAAAAGTTGTATAATTCTTTTAAATATAAAACAGTTAACTCATTTTATTAGAGAAAGTGACAGTTTTAACATCTTTAAAGTCTGAATTAACTTTGACTTTGAAATATAATCAAATTCTTCTTTTATATCAATAAAAACTGTGATTCAAAGGTTGCTTAAGCCAGCGTACGATTACAGGCATACGCCGGCTTCTTATATATTGTAATATCATACGCTAAATTAATTAGTGACCGCTATGGCTCTCTTTACATTTGTACGCTAGTAGTTTGAAAGCGGCTGCATTATTATCCGACAGTCATACATTCTTCTAAATCACATTCTCTCTTACCAGATTCAGTCACACTCATGTGATCATGTTGTACACTCTAGCTTTATGCAGATTAGCTTATCACTAGCATTTCATGATTATGTGATCTATTTCTGATTCAGCTAGCATTATGTGTACACTCTCACAAAGAAACTTTCACTATATTACATCACTTATTCACTAATTTTTCTTATTCTTCAATCATCATCTCTATCATTGTTATTATTGAACATCATCATTTTATTCAAGATTTCTATCTCTTCTTCTGTTCAACTCTTTTCATCTGTTCATCTATCACATTGTATGCATTTCTGATGATGGCTTCTCATTCTCATAACAAGTGTTCTTGTAGTGCTCATATCAGGCAGTTTATTAGCAGTAAGTGTAATATGTTATGAAACATGGCCAGGACTTGTTTATCTTCTAACAATCATCAGAACATACTATTATGAATGACACATCTTCTTCATCTTCTTATATGTCTCTGACTCTCTTTTCTTTAGCAGCATCTGATCATGTTTTTCTGATTGTATTATATGATTGCAGATGCTGATTTTTTGATTCACATAGAATCTTCATATGTTAACAGATTTATGTCTGCTAATGATCATGATTTCAATATTAAATCATTAATTGAGAACTTGAAGAATGTGATAATAAAGAAATTGTCTGTGCTATGTGTGACTGAGTCTTCTGTGTCTCTTCTCACTCTCTCTGTTTCTTTCTCTGCTGCTCTCTCTCAATCTTCTACACCTGTCTCTGTGTCTAGTTCTTCTGCTTCTGCTATCTCTGTTCCCGCGACTCTCACTTCTGTCACTTCTGATTTTATCATCTCTGCTTTCATTATCAGCTCTCCTCATTTCAAGAAGATATTACATAGACTTAATAAATTATATCTCTCAGTGTGTATACTCCCGCTCTTCTTACTGACTCTCAGAATAATTTATTATATGAAGACTGTGTACAACATAATTATCTGAAGCTCAGTTACAGACACTGATTATTACATTCATTTTAAATATTCATAATAAGACAATTGTTCATTCATATCAGAGAATCACTCTTCTTCTCAATAGTATTAAGATTGTAAGTCTTTTTCTTTTTCATCTTTTCTTTCTAACACTGATTTTTCTGTTCTTAGAAGAAATCATTATGAGTTTTACTATGCATGAAGTCATGATGTTCACAGACATCAAGAAGCTTTTCATAATTATAAAGTTTAATATTGCAGAGATATTCACTCTGATGAATTTCTTCAGAATGATAGATCTGTATCAGCCTATTCTCTAGCATCTGTCATTTGACTTTATGATGTAGATGAAAGATATCCATGTTTTCAGAAACAGAAACACAGATGTCATACTCTTTTATATCTATGAGTGTGAGACTTATACACCTTGTCTGAAATGTTATCATGAGAATGAGCTGTTCACACACTGTGTTCTGCTTTCTGCATTCTCTCATGTCTCTCTCTCTCTTTCTGAGAAGTCTTGTGCATGTTGTAATTGCATGTACAACTCTAAGACTAGCAGATGTTTGTTCAGTAACTGTTCTCATCTCTGATTTTGTAATTTTTGTATACTAACAATGATTCTTAGTTGCTTCAGTGTCAGAGATTATTCTGATTAAAAATGATAATGCTGCTGAGACTACTCTCTTCTACTCTTAAGCTTTTCTTATCACTTTCTCTTCCTTCTCTGCAGGGAAGGTTGTGTGCACACTGAGTTGTAAGCATTCAGCTCTGAGTAACTCTCACTATCATTTGTCTGATTCTGCACCTTCTTCTTTCATTTCTTCTACCTCTGTTCTCTCTGCTCTGACTTCTGATTCTGCAGATTCTGCACTCTTCTTCAATTTTTCTATATATATGTGTATGCATTTCTATATTGATATTTCAGTCAATCTTGTGATAAATGACATTAATGTTGTACACAGAGCAGTAGAGAAATCAGAGACATATGCAGCATTGTTGTAAGAGCAGCTTACAGCTCTTGAATCTCTTACAGATCTTGAGTTTTGAGATTTCCTTTATTTTTGATGTTTTTCAGATGATATGATGTTGAAAATAGATTAAACATGTAGTGTATGAAAATGAATGAGATATGTATGATAATATTTATCTTTTACAGCTGACTCTTACAGTTGATGATCAATTCATTATTTCTTTTCTTACACTTTTTCTTTATCTGCTAGTCACTACTCTTACATAATCTCTATATAATACAGTATTCAGTGACTAGGTTCAGCAGCTTTCATCTTTTGTGATTCTATCTTATGCATTATACTGTCTCTCTTCACCTGCTTAGATCACTACAGTGAACAGCTCATTAAAACTAATCTCATTCAATCTCTGAGTATTCTCAGGAATTGAGATGACTTGATCTCATGTATTCATGAATATTTCAGATAGTTTATTCTTTATGATCTCTGTGATTGAACTGATGTAAATAGTTGAATTTAACTCTGAATTTCTTTTTCTTCTGTAATCTGACTTATGTATAAGTCTGCTACTTTGAGACTGCTCTTTACTGTATTATACTCACTGTCTGTGATATGTTATTGTATAACTGGCTACAGTCTCATCACTTATTAAAGTGTGATATTTATCTGATTTCTTCATTTCTTTTCATTCTTTTCTTATAATTATGAAAAGATTGAAATAAGTGAGATTATCTGATTTATAAGTGTCTATGATTTCTCTTATCTTATAAGACTTTTCAATTATAAGTCTCTTCTTTTTCAATACTGATAATAGTACTGTGAATAATTATAATTCACTCAGGTCTTATATCTTTGCTTTCACAAGTTGTGAATCATTTATTAAGTTATATAAGATCTGTCTCTCTGGTTCTTTCAATGCATACATTCTCAGAGAATGTGATTTAAGTATTTTATATAGCTCAAACCACCTAGATTAGAACTTCTCAGAACTCTCATTGTGTATAAGAACTTACATTTTCATCTTGAGACTTGATTTCTTAACTAGTGAGTCTTGTATTCTTTTTGATTGAATTGCTCAGTTTAGAAGTAACTCATTAGCTTTTGCATGTGTGTGACTGATCTCTTTCAATCTTGATTCTGTGTCCGCGACTGCTGTGTCTGCAACTGCTACTTCTGTGTCTGTAACTGCTGTTTCTGCTGTGTCTGTGACTGTTGTGTCTGTGACTGTTGCATCTGTGACTGTTGCGTCCGTGACTGTTGTGTCTGCAACTGCTGTTTTCTCTCTCACCTTTTCTGAAGCATTCTCTGAGATGCGCGGATGCAATTCATACAACAGGTAGAATGGTGAACACTTGAAGACTGTATGCTGTTGAATCTGTGTGATCAGTAGCATCTGCCTGAGATATTCATTTCATAGTCTTGTAGGCTTGCTCACTAGATATTTCATCAGCATGTTGTCTAAGATTTCATTCAAGTGTTTCATCTTCCTGTTTATCTGTGAATGATATAATATTGTTCTATAATGTCTTATCTGTAACTGACTCATGAAATATCTTATCACTTCTTCTATGAGATTCACATTATTATCAGTTAGAATCTCACACAGCATTTCATAGTTGACATAGATCTTATTATATAGAAACTTCATCATCATCTTCTCTATTATCTCTGAAACTGCTTTTATAACTGATCAGTCAGTAGTGTAATCAATAGCAGTGATTATTCATCAATTTTCATTTAATATTCACAGTAATATGTCTATGAGATTCATCTCTTATCATTTAAACAGTTGTATTGTACACTTTATCTGATATTGCACTTTCTTACATTCTAATCCTTTCTTAGATTCTTTTGTAACCTGACAATTCAGACACTTGTGAGTATACATCTGAATATTCTCAGTCATGCTTGATCAGTATGCTCTTGTTTCAAGTATGCTCATGAGTTCAGAGCTTTCTAAGTGACTGAATTTCTTATGCATGTGAGTTATCAAGTTATGTCTAAATAAAGATTCTAGATAGAGAGCTTCTGCATATTCTAGATTGTGATAAAGCACAATGTTGTTTTCATTTCTCAATTTTCTTAGCTTGAAGTTTCAAAGTATCTCTTCTACTACTCTCATAAGATACTTATCATCTGACATCTTGTCATTCTTCAAGTGAGAGATTATAGTGTTCACTCATTCTGATTCCTTGCATCTTCTCAGCATGTTTAATATGAATGTCTCTTGTGTCTGATTCACAGAACTCTCACTTATGAAATCAGATCTGTGACTGATTGTATCAGATATCACTGTATTCAATTTCGTTCAGTATTTGATATGAAGATCATACACTTAGAACTCTGAGATTCAATATACTAAGTGTTTGAAAGGTTTTATCATTAATTATAGATAGATAAGACTTTTATAATCTGTAATCACTGTTATTATATACTCATTGTTAATATATCTATCTCACAATGTCAGCATGTGCTTGATTGCTAGTAATTTCTTTTCATATACTGAGTAATTGAGCTCAGCATCTGATCATTTTCTATCATTGTATATCATCAGATGCAGCTTGCTGTTCTTACTTATCTGTAAAAGAGTGTCTCTGATAGCTCATTCGGATGCATCTGTCTCAATATAGAAAGATTTATCACAATCTGATTGAATAAGCACTGAGAATGTTATTATACATTCTCTCAGTGTGAGAAAAGCCTCTTCACATGCAGCATTTCAGATAATTGAACAAAACTTCTTTTTTCACAGATTTATATCTATTTCTCTTAAGAGATCTGAGAGTGATGTAGATATTTATGTGAAATCCTTGATAAATCTGCAGTAGTATGAGATCAACTTAAGAAACTATTATACATAATATATATTTCTCAGCTGCAGTTAATTTACTATAATATTCAATTTCTCTGAGATGAGATGTATACAGTCATCACTCATTATATATTCTATGAACTTCAACTCTTTCATTTTAAACACATATTTGATTGATTTAGTGTAGAGCTTATACTCTGTCAGAGTTATAAGCACTTTATCAAGATGCTTTAGATATTCATTATATAAGTTTGAAAAGACTAGAATGTTATTGAGATATATAAGATATAAGATTTTATTCTGTTTATGAATTATTGTATTCATTATTATTTAAAAGATAGTAGATGCATTTGTCAGACTGAATAATATTATCAGAAATTTGAACTTTTCTCATTATATATTAAATACAGTTCACAGAACTGATAGTTCATCTATATAAATCTGTCAGTATTCTGAAAGAAGATTAATCTTTGATAGATATTAAGTGTTTTCAACTGTATTCAACTGTTGTTAAATTCATGACAGTGAATATTCATTCTTGATTATAAGCTTATTGAGTGCTGAGTAATTAATACACATTTATCACTCTTCATCTGTCTTTTTCATAAATAGAACTGAAAAGTCTCATGTACTTAATAAGAGTTATATAAGATTATATTCTAGAAGATCTGTGATCTGATACTTCTGTTCTTTGAGATGTGTTTGTAATAGAAGATATATATTCTGATTGACTGATTTTACATTCTCTGTGTCAATCTCATGTATGAATTCTCATTTCAGCAGCAATTCTGATGAAAGATCTGTTCAGAAGATCTTCTTATACTTCTTCAGAAGCTTCTTCATACACTTATTCTTCTGTATATCTTTTATCTTAGTTTTCTTCACTTTCAGGTTCTGTATGACATACAGAATGCTTTCAGATGAGGTCTTATAAATCATTCTCTTTACTTATTAATATGTAAGCAGATTTAATTCTTCTATATCAGAGATGTGAAATGTTCTTCTCATATCAGTTGATAGAATCATATGAACTGTTTTCTTTCTATCAGTCAACTGTATATGATATATACATCATTGAATCTGTGAATTAAATCTTTGAAACTAATTAAGTCTGAGAATAAGATTGTATTTCACATTCTGCAGCTCTCACACTTAAATATAGCAAGATCATTCTTCAAAGTGCAAGAGAACTCTTACTCTTGCAGATGATATCAAATATCAGTTATCAGATAATCTTATATATTGAGAATTCTTCACTCAGTGAATCTCTTTCAATCTTCAGATTATATAATTATTAATATATTATATAGAAGCTTCTGTGTCTGCTAATACTTTTA